ATAACTAACATATAAATAATAAATGTTTAAATTATTTGTTTTTGAAAGCGCGTTAAGTTTAGGAGATGTAAAATTAAAATCTAGACAGACAATTTTTTTTCGTCCTCATATTTTTGTCATATATCATGCAATCTTTAATTTTAAAAGTAAAGTAGCNGTGGACTTATAGTAATTTATTTCAGATTTCTATGGCCAGGGTCCGTACCATATATATGAGTAGGACAGATTCTGGTCTTGAATAATATGAAATAATATGCTGCCACCTAGATGTCTCGAAGGAGAAAGCTGCGTCGCCAAAAGAAAAATGTAAAAATTAGTCACAATTCAGTCGGAATTACCACCATATTACCAATATTCGATCTTCTAATTGGTTTGGTTGACCAAATTGGACTATGACCCATAGGACAAAGTGTTTTACATTACTTCATTTTGACCATAAAATGACTTCAACTTTTTTCCCCACTTACCATCATTCGACATCGATTTGTAGTAAATAAGGCTTGGTCGACAAAACTTTTAGACCTATTAGAAAGTCAAATAGAGGTAATTTTGCCCAGTTTTGCTGTTTGGGATAGTTTTCGGTTACCAAGGTAAGATTTTGGAACGTACCCCAGAGTCGAAGTAAGATTTCATCATTGACAAATACCCTATCATGTGAATACAGTTCTGTATATATATTTTGCATTATATACGTTTACGTTTTGCGCAATATTTGTGTTTTATAGACAATTAGGTAAATAATGAAAAGCATGGCAAATATATATTTTTTAATAATTTATTAAGTCTTGGAAAATATATCTGATAAATATCTATAATATACGTCTAATGGATGTTCATGATAGATATTTTTATCTATAGTGGATATCTATAGTGGACATAGCATAGACCCTATAAGCACACAATATTCTTAGAATATTCTAGAATATTCTATGAAGATTAATAGTACGTTTAATAACTTCCAAAAATCAGAATATTACTTGATATGAAATAATATTATGCGCTTATAAGAGATATGCATTAGACGTCCATTCATCATCCATCATGGAGATGGAGCTGTGGATGTTGTACGGACCACTAATAAACGTCACGTTCTGTGTAGGAATTAAGTAAATATCTATCGTTACACACTGATGAATTTTACAAATTTTCATTTTATATTATGATAGTGTGTGTGTTAAAACAACTGTTCAAGAAAACTTTCTATTGTATATACGTACAGCACGAGATATTGCTATACATTTAGACTTGACGAATAGATTTTTCTTAGTACCATTTTCAATTATTTTATTAAAATGTATCTAATTGCAATTTCGCCTTACTTGTAAGAGAAAAACATTACTTTTAGATAATTTTATTTAAAACTAATTTTTTTCTATACTTATTTATTTAGCATTACATCATGGTTTATAAATATAATTTCTTTTTTGGCCAATAAACATTTGGATGAGACGATAAATTGAAAAAACTAAAACTGAGGATTAAGAGTCTCCTTTAATGTTTATTTAAGAACATATATTTGATATATAGGACTTCCGTTTCCGGCAGCGAGTTAGTAAGCGATTGTGGATAGCATAGAGTGTGATTTTGGTTTTTTGTGTCGAAGTTGGCCAGTGGTTGTGAGTGAGTGTGTGTGTGAGTGGGTAAGAGTGTGATTGGAAGGAGTGGGTATATAGGTGGAGGTGAGCGAGGCGGGGGCATATATATAATACTTCTATAATGCTAGTCGCGTATCTTCGCAATGAGAGGCACGAGGCCCGAGAAAGAGAGACGCACGAAGTCCAAATATGGGCATAGATAGTCGAGCGTCATTATGCGCAGGCGCGTCTACTAAGCGAGTGCGAGCGAGACAAAGCATTGGAAAGTAAGAGAAAGAACGCGAGAAAGA